AGAGGAGGCTGGCCATGAGCATGTGACGAGACGGGGGAAAGGGGGATGGAAGAGAACCAGAGCAGGAAGGCAAGAGCAGGAGAGAACAAGAGCAAGAATGAGAAGAGGAGGTAAGCAGCCCCTTTTATAGTGAGTCAGGCACACCTGGCTGTTGCCAGGTAACTGTGGGGCGGAGCTTAGACAGAATGCTAACGGAGGTTCCAAGGGTGAAGGGTGGACATGAGGAGATATGATGTTAAACTCACAAAGAATCAATAAAAAGTTAAAAGAGAAAGGAAGGAAGGAAGGAAGGAAGGAAGGAAGGAAGGAAGGAAGGAAGAAAGGAAGGAAGGAAGGCTAAGCTTGCTTCAGTGTTTCGTGGGCCTGTGTTATTCCTTTTCTCATTGCTGTGGCAAATATCTGACAAGAAGCAGCTTAAGTGAGAGGAAAGGTTTACCTCAGCTAAGCTCTAGCGTAGGTCCATCATGGTAAGGAAGAACAGAAGCAGGAACATGAGGCAGCTGATCGAACTACATCCACGGTGGGAGGGAGGGGGAATAACTGACGGAGCTCAGCTCGCTTTCCTATCTTGTCCGAGACCCCTCCCAGTTCATCCATTCATCCATCCATGCATCTACATACTGTCCATCCAGCCACCAGCCACCCATTCATTCACGCATCATGCAGCCAGCCATCACCAGTCCAGTCATACAGTGAGTCAGGTGCCTGTCACTTTCTCCACAAGAGGTGCCATCTTGGATACATCTGGGACAAAATTAAGGGTAAAAGAGATCAGGCCTTCCTTGTAGAGCTTGGTTTGGAGGTCAATGTCAATAGAATGATGAACTGTGTCCCAAGGGTCTACTTATGGCATCCCTTGAGACTAGAATAGGGGTTGGTCTTATTGGTGTCATCAAGAAAGTCCTTGGGTCTGAATCTACCATGCTTCAGCCATGGTCCAGAATGTGCTTGGTTTCTCTACAACTTGCTCAATAGGAAGTGGTCATGAGGCTATACACCACTGCCCAGGGGATGGGAAGGTCTACCATCAGAGGGATTGTCGACACTCCCACTCCCACAATCCCTGTGCCCCCCTCCCAAGCAGTAGAGTATTTCTAGGAGGGTAAAAGTTTAGTCTGGTGGCCTATCTCTGCATGCTGTTTGAGTTCTATCAAGGTCAATGACTATGGTGTCATCTCTACAGATGGCTTGGGCCATGACCTGTTTGTTGGGACTGAGATGGGCTGAGGCATGGGTAAGGCCAAGCAGTGGCCTGCTGTTGTGAACTGGGTAATGCAAACATTGTGCTGACAACCTCTTGTGCACTTGGAGCTGGGATGCTTGGGTTCCAAACCTGCTGCTCTGGACCTCTGTGCCTCTCTAATTCTGAATGGCTTCCGCAGAATGAGGGTTAGGCCTAGAAATGTTTGTCTCCACGTCCTGCAGAAAGAAGTCATGCCCCGTCCCTTTTCCAGCCTGGGGCATCATCATCAAGGCTTCTTCTGCCTGCTCTGGGGTTCTGAGCATTCCTGTCTGCCACATGGGACCCAGTAGTGCAAGGGCATGCCCTGGGCCTACCACAGTCCATCATGTCCACCCCAGAGCTCTGCTAGGTACAGGGGTGACTCATGATCTTACCCAGGGAAGGAGTGGACTCTTGTATGGGTGAAAAGCCCATTTGGGGTTGCTTATCACAGCCCTGCAGGGTAAGAGGCTCACACCCTTGCCTCTCACCCACCCCATGATCACAGTGGTCACATTCTGGGGTCGTAGGCAGTGTGTTTATTTGTGTTGAGAGCAGGGGCAGGGCGAGGCTCTACCGGTAGGAACCATTTCCTTCTTCAGCAGACTTTTGGATCCGGTAACCAGTCTAATGGGGAGGAAACAGATAGTATCGGGATGGTGGATAAGGAGGAGGAGCAGGAGAGTGACTTAGGAGGGACAACAGGCAGGCAGACTGGAAGCTGGGCAGGGACATGAGACCAGAAGTGGCTGCAGGGTGGGGATTAGGAGAAATGCCCAGTAGAGTGCACCTCTGTCACCAGTCTGGGCTTCTCCAGAAGTCCCTGCATAGCACTGCCTGCCCCCACAGGATCCTAGACTTGTGGTAGATCATGGTGGTATGGAACCATGAGTGTTAAGGTTAGTGCAAACAGGCATGTGATCGTATGTTAACAGATGAGATGTGACCCAGGTGTGGTGGCACAGGTGTGGTGGCACAGGCCAAAAATACCAGCACCCTGGAGGCTAAAGCAAGTGAATCATGAATCCAGGACCAGCCTAGGCTGTGCAACAGACCTTATCTAGAAACAACAAGGGTGCGAGGTGAAGTGTACGTGTGAGCAGGTGTGTGCAAGCATATGCCTGTCTGCGTGCTTGTGGTACATGCTTGGGTGTTCAGATGTGGCAGGTATGTACTGGAGGTGGCATGATGAGAAACGGCCACTGGGTGGAGACTGGGGAGAGGTCCTGATTCCAGCCATAAAAGACTGAAGACAGGACTCAGTCCTGAAGCCTCTCGGCCTTAGGCTCTGAGAGTTTCCTACTAGGAATATGCTGTCCGTATTCAGGGATGTCCATGGGTGAACTCCAGTGTTCTGTGAACAGGGAACCAGAGTACAGAGGACAGTCCAAAAGAGGAGAATCTGTGGGGAGGGGACAGCCTGTGGCAGGGACACAGGATTAGAACAAAATGGCCTAGGACTCAGATAGGACCATGAGGCATGAGCACCTCCCTTCTGGCTCAGGCTAAACTCTGTGAACAAGCACTTGGTTCAGACTGTCTGGGACTGTAAGGCCCCACACATGTCTCCTGAGTATATGTAGTGCCTGCCTAGAGAGTGGCTATGGGACTTGTGAAGGCAGAGGGAGGTGCCACCATTGTCCAGGGTCTCCAGACCCCATTACCCACTGAGTGTAAACCCATTACCGGTCAAATCAGGGAAGAGGAAGTTATTCTTTGTGAGGTTTTGGGTCCTGGTCAGGCAGATGAACCTGTCTATTGTCTTATGAGGAAGCCTCCAGTTTCTACCTGTGACCAGAGGACAACGTGGTTCTCAGTACTTGGCAGTGGTGAGGTATTTGCCCCCAAGCTGTCCCAAACCCAGGAAGCACCCCCCTGAGGAGGGTTATGCATAGGGCCCAGGGAAGCAAGGGCTCACCCAGAAGGCTGACTCTTGTGATGCTCTGGCTGCTCGTCTGTCTGAGGGATAGCACCAGGGCGAAATTGACGTAGTCTGTCTCTATGACCTGTATGTTTTCTTTGTCTGCCCCAGGCCCTGACCCTGGGGGACACACATGTCAGGTTCCCAAGGCAGTCACATCCCTCCCGCCCCCATCTTTCTCACCTCTGTTGTCCCTGGTGAATTGCCCAGGCTTGGTTGTTGGGATTAGGCTATAGGACCAAGTGTTGCAGCGCTTGCCCCTGTGGGAGGGATAGGCAGGAGCAGGGGCAGAGGTAGGACAGAGGGCTAAGGAAGTCAGCCAGCCACCGCCAAAAAAAAAAAAAAAGAAAAAAGAAAAAAAGAAAGGAAAAGAAATCCAGCCATTCATTTGGAGGGGTCTGCATCCCAGAAGGATGGAGAAGACTGGATTCCTCCCCTGCTCCCCAGGCCATGGCCCTGGGGTCCTTTCAGCTACTCTGTGCCCTTCCTAGAAGTCTGGCACAGTGCCACAAGAGAGACACCTGCTCGGGACAGCCAGCAAGGGCCTCAAATCTACAGGGACAGCCAGCCATGTTAAACAGAAAGTATTTCTAGGTGTCAGCAGCTATTCCCTTCTGACACCCAAAAAGCTCCAGAATGGGCCAAGAACAGACGTCACATTGGAGCTGTCTGCCACCGTTAAGACTAAGAGAACAAGAGCCTGCCCAAGAGATCAAGGTAGGACAGGCAGAACCAAGACAGAGACCGAGAAAGGGATTCCTAACCACATACGAGTCTCTAAAATCCATCTGGTGAGTCACTCTGGCTAGAGTAAGTCACCATTTGCCTCCCTCGTCAGCCCATCAGCTGGGGTGGGCTTTAGCAACCGTCATTAAGCAAGCTGTGCTAGGCATGGCCTCCAAATGAGGTTCCTCAACCCGTAGTGTGCCCAGACCACACAAGGCTCCCAGAACATAGCCTCAAGTCCTTGACTGCTTGCACAGCAGACACCCCACTCACCGAGTCATGGAGTTGGTCACCTGAAACTGACTGTTGTTTTTGAGCTCGAACAATGAGATGAAGAAATTCAGCAAGGCCCGATGCTCTCTCTTGTAGGTGTTGTCTGCCAGACCCAGGACAAACCACTCCCCCTGAAACTGCATGGCTGGTGATGAGCACAGGCAGCCCCTGCCCATCCTACCCTGGGCAGCCCACAGTCAGCTAGGACCCCTCCTCAGGAGGCAACTGCAGGCCAGATCTGCATCAGTGACACTGGCAGACCCTCCCTCTGCCTTGGATCTGGCAGGTAGAGGGTGGCCTTGGTCAGGAGCCAGGTGGTGTCCCCAAGCCTCTGCTCGTCCCCTTTCACAGAGGAAACGTTTAGTGCAAACACAGAAAGTTACGGGGGCTCCAGGCCCTTTTTTGCTGAAGGTCATGGGCTCACTCTTAGTTCAGGTTCTGCCCTGACCTCCCTGAGCAGTGCTCATAGGCCTGCATGCTCCCTCACTCCTAGCCAGTTGCAACCTGCTTCTTCCCCTTTGAAAGCCCTATACCTGGTCACTTTGGAAGCTCTTCATCTGGGAAAAGCCTCGAGGCATGGCTGGAGCCTGACCCTCCAGGATTTGAGGCAGGGTGAGTATCAGCCACAGAGCCCACCAAGGGCCCATCCCAACAGCCACCAGGCTCCAGAGGGATATAGCCTGCCTGAGGAGCGGACGCTGGTGAAGCTCGCTCAGAAACCTGTTTCCTCATATCAAAGCCCACGTGGCCAGTGCCCTGAGGAGTATGGCAGACAGGTGGGTGTGAAAACAGGGCAGGGCTGACCCTCTTAGACCATAAACACTTGCCAGGGTCTCTGGAGTCCCAGCCAAAGAAGAGAAAGCCTACTGTGTCCAGCTGGGGCCATCTTGTGACTCCAAACACTTGTGCCTACAGGTGGGTCAGAAACCTGCCCACGTCCACCTCTATCTAGCCTTCGTGCCAAAGAACAACCTGTTCTAGGTGGGGATCATAACTATCCCTAGTGTCCTCTGCGTCTTATCCATGGATCTGACCTGCTAGCCCCCAGGCCATTCCATGCCCACACATGTGCTAAAATCGGTGTGGGCTTAAGTACTGTCTGCCCACTATCAGAACACAATGCTCGTCAGAGGCAGAGGGAGAGGCCTCAGGAACACAAGGCCGAGTAAGAAGTACTGAGGGATTTCAAAGAGGCCTCCCATGCAGATGGGAGAGGTAGAGCTGGGGGAAGGACAATGAGAGAGAGAAGGACAATAAGAGAGCAGGCACAGTGGGGGACAGAACCTTATAAGTCTCACTCTTTAAGAGCAGGACCCTACAGGAGTATGGCCCCGTGGGATGATCCAGTGGGGATGGAGCAGGATCCTGGTGGAAGCCCTATACCAGAGGCTGGGATCGGGTAGTGCCTTGGTGCCACGCTCTTTCTGGTCCCAGGCTGTTGATTCAAGAGAAAAGCTATACAAACTTAATGTAGGTGGTTCCTGTCTGAACTTCCTAAAGGAGGTTCAGCGCCATCTCTGCCAGTTCCCTGTGCTCTTTTCTGAAAGGCAGGACACCTGGAGAGCAGGACAGACCAGGCCTTGAAGGTCTGGCTCAAGAGGGCCCTTGATGGACCAGGCTCTTCCAGGCCTGCTGAGACTTCACAAAGGGGAGTTGGCCTCAGGAGCTAAGTCTCATGGTGACCCAGTGTCCTAAGCAGTGTCCTGGCTATGCTCTTTCCTAGGTCTTGGTGGCTGATGCGGTTATCCCACCTTCAAGCAGTCCTGAACTAGAGGCGGGGCAGCTCCTCCTACCTTTAAAGTGATTGGTGGAGCCTCCGACCAGTGCTACACTGGATTTACAGCAACTAAACAGTCCAGCCCGACCATCTTAGGACAGAAAGAGATCTGGCGTCCTGTGTAGTGTCCTGAAGCTGACCAGGACTTCCTCCAAAACCAGGATTATGAGGAGGAGGCACGCATGTGATGACAGAGATCCCCGCACAAAGTTCAGACCAACCCACTCCCCAACAGGCAGCCAGGAAGCGGGGGCCCTCCTTCTCTCTTTCCGGTTCCTAAGCCCTGTTGGACCCCTCCCTGGTGCTCCTCTTTCTTCCTCCTACCTGCCCACTGTTCTCTTTGTCCTCCTCAGCCACCTTCCTCTTTCCTTCCAACAGCGACAGGCAGAACAAAACATCTCTTCAATATGCTCGTCTCCTCTCTTGGGGAAGATTCACTCCCCTTCCCCAGAATTTTTCCCAGGACGCTGCCTGAGTGGCAGGAGGCCCCTGAGAAGGCCTTAAACCATCCTCATACCCAGGGTGCTACCTGTTCATAGAGCACCTGGGTGGACGAGAAGGGCAGGTGCCCTACTGCTTGGCCTAGCCTCTTGAGAAGGGGCACAGCGCCCGAAGTCCAGGTAGGCAGAACAGGCCGCCTACTCTGCGGCCCCTAAAGGACAAGTCCTCAAACCCTGTGGTCTCAGGCACGATATTGGTCTCTACAGATTTTTAAAGTTCGTTTCTTCTTAGATATTATAAATTAGCTATTAGAATTCAAAGGTGATATACAAAGTAGAAGAAACATTTGTGTACGAGTATGTGTATGCGCTGTATATCCGCGCTTGTGTATGTGGTTGTACAAGCAGAGCACACTGGGTACCTTCTCTGCCTGTTCTCATTGGAACTATACTGGAGTGCAACAAGCTTTGTAGTCTCAACTCTGCCCTGCCTCTAATTCAGTGCAGGGTTATAGGTGGGACTGGCCATGCCAAGATTTTAAGGTTAATTCTGGAGCTCCAACATCATGGTCGCATGATTGTGCAGCAAGCACAAGCCATCTCTCCGGTCCCTATAAGAAACAGTTAAGTGGTTAAGTGGGACCGGAGAGATGGCTCAGTGTTAAGAGCACGGGCTGCTCTTCCAGAGTATGAACTCTTCCTGAGTTCAATTCCCAGGAACCACATGGTGGCTCACAACCATCTGTAATGGGATCTGATGCCCTCCTCTGGTGTGTCTGAAGACAGCTACAGTGTACTCAGATACATAAAATAAATAATTCTTTAAAAAAAAAAGAGAGAGAGTGAGAGAGAAGGAAAAAATGTATGCATGGGTCAGTGAGATAGCTCAACAAGTAAAGATGCTTGCCTCTAGGCCTGATACTCTGAGCGTGATCTCCAGAATCTATTAAACATGGGAGGAGAGAACCAACACCTGCAAGTTGCCCTCTGTCCTCCACAAGTGTCCTCCAATACACACACACACACACACACACACACGCATGTGTGATATAGTTATCATTAAAATACCTAATATTTTCAAATTTTACTAAAGCTTTTAAGACACTTTTTTACAAAGAGACTAAAATGAGCGTCAATTCTAGAGCTCTGTGTCAATGGTATGGTCCATGCTTGGCCCATTCAGACCCATAAGGCAACAAGGGAGAGGGTGAAGCCTTGGCCATGTGAGACCAACTCCTACCAGAGTGAGACCAGTCTCTGTTAGGGAACACAAGACAAAAAGGGAAAGGTATCCCTGGAGTTAGAGCAGTGAGCCCAAGGCCAGGCCCCACAAGACCACAGTGCTCCAGTGAGCTCTATTTTTGTGGATAGGACAGTCTTCTAAAATTCCACCTTCTAAGGTCCCTGGTGGTTTACTTTCTCTCCAGTCCATTTTCCACCCTCCCAAAGTCCAGCTGTCCAGAGACCCTGGGTGGTGGTCAGACCCTCCTCTGGGACATCTGTGGCCCCAAGAGCAGCTATCCCCTGCATTTCTGCAGCACTCTTTCCTACAGCCATGCCAGCGGACACGGACTCCTGACTTTGCTCCAGGAATCATACAGCAGCCCTGCCTGGGCTACAGCTCACTGGGGGCATTGCTAGAGGGGAAGACATGGCGGACTAGGGAGCAGAGGGGTTAGTCCACCTCTGCCTTCCTGTCATCAATAGGTGGCTGAGCCTGGACTTCACACTCCCTGGAAGAGCAAGGACTTGCCTATTTCATGTCCTCAGGGCTTGGAGCATTTGAGAAATGCTTATCAAATGATCAGTGGAAGTTGTCAGGCAGCAGCAATGCAGAGCAGAGCCCAGCTGCATCTGGGATGATGCCCAGTTCCCTGAATCCCAGCCCTACAGGGCCAAGCAAACCAGCCCAGGTCTAGAAAGAACACTGCTTCTGCCTGGGGAAAAGGCCCAGCTCCTCTTTTATGGGGATATGCACAACTTGCTTTCTGCTCCCTGTAGCTGGTAACCTTGACTAGAGTCGGGTTAAGGGGTCCCTCAGGTCAGCTATATCAGGAGTTCTACCCACATGCCAGGAGCCCCATGTTCACCCCTAACTGGTTCATTAAGTAGTCTGCCTGCTCCCTGCTCCTGGGGTTCAGCTTTCCACTCTATGTGCTCCAAGCAGTCCCTCAATTCCACCCTGCTATCTCCCTAGCAAATTCCCTTGGTCTATAGCTCTTTAGCCTCCAGAGTCAAGGATTAGGAGGGCCCTAGAGGGCTTACTGGTAGGCCTGTGCCCCTCTCCAGGGAAGGTACCCTAGCAGGACCCTGAGCCCCACCCCCCATGGGCACTAAGCCAGAGCAGAGGGCTGGGGTAGGAGAGTAAGGCAAGGTTTATGCCTTCATTGCAGAGAGGAACAGGCTCAGGGAGAGAGCAAGGACTCAGTGCTGTTTCTAGCCCCGCCTCCCTAGGACAGAATCCTCAGATAGCTAAGGGGTGTGTATGTGTGCATGCATCCGCGCGCGGACAGAATCCTCAGATAGCTAAGGGGTGTGTATGTGTGCATGCATCCGCGCGCGCGTGTGTGTGTGTGTGTGTGTGTGTGTGTGTGTACGCAAATTCCCTTCCCACCTGAGCCTGGTGGAACTCCTGTCCAGATTGACAGAAAAGACCCAGAACCAAGTCTGAGGTTTACTGAAAAGCCCCAGAACTACAGAGCTGTATGAAGGGTTGCTTCTGGGGACAGACAGGAGTGACTCCAAGTGCATTCAGGATGCTCAGAACTCTCTGAAGGTAGTCCACTGTCTGCGGCTTCTCCACTAGATGGCCTCATCTTGGCATCTCTGCAGTAGACAAAAACCTTAGTAGGGGCAGGAAAGGCCTTGACTGCAGGCCCCCAGTGTTCTGCCCTGCTGACCACTCACCGTTCAGGATGTGGAATTGGTCTGCAGTCTCGCAGAAACCTAGGGTACAGGCAGTAGTAAGCAGGGGTCGGGTGTCATCCAGGAGGATGACTGGGCTGGGGACACTCACCATACTTAGGAAAGAAATATATCTGATCTTCTGTCAGGTTGGCTCCCCTGACTCGCTGCTCAAACACATTCAGGACAGAATCACTCACAGGCAGTGAGCGGGCTGTGGGATAGGCAGAGTTCCAGTGGTTTCAACAGGGCAGAGTATCCAGGACACAGCCAGGTCAGCTGTGTGTCCCTGCCCCATCTAATCCTCACACCAGCCCATGTGTAGCTATTCCTCTAGGGTGCCTGCTACCAAGAGTATGGAGATAGAAAAGGAGTGGGGAGGGTCTGTGTGTCCATCTGGGGTTACCCAGTCCATCAAGATGGACTTCCAGGATGCAAAGCGCAGGTCATGTGTGAAAAGTACAAGGTCAAGTGTAACCACAGAACTAGTACACACCGTACAATTTCACAGACAGCTTCCTCGCCTGCTCCAGATACAAGATAGCAAAGCTCTGGTAGTCAGTCTCAGCAACAACCACATACACTGGGCCCCGGGCCTGTGGAGCTGAGACAACATCACAGAAACACATCAGTCCCTTCCCCTCTGCCTCCAGCCCTGAACCCTCTCGCTTCATGCCCTTGCCTCACCTTGGAGCAAGAAGCGGCCAGGAACCCCTGTGATTCCAAAGAGTTGGCGTATCTGCCAGCATATTCCATCTCTGGGGAGGGGAGGAAGGCATGCCGTAAGAGGAGGCACCCAGGCTCTAGGAAGCCAACCCAGGAGGGCCCATATGGGATAGCTATCTAGGCCACAGAAGAGCTAGAGATGAGGTTTAGGGTCAGGAGGGCAGGGTAAGGTGGGCTCGGGGCTGGGGTGAAGATGGAGGCCCCGCTGAGACTCACAGCTTTCGGAAGGTGCTGACAGTGATAGCTGCACCCTGGGGAGCTGCATGCAATGCGGTGGCCTCAGCCCGGTGTCCCTGTTCCCGAAGAAAGCGGCATGCAGAGCCCACAGCCACAAGAAGCCATGTCCCTGCAAACTGGAGGTTGACTGTGAGGGCTCGGGACTGAGGGAATAGGACACCCTGGACCTATCCTGCCAAGCTAGGCAGCTTCTTACTGCTCCTTTACCTATGCCCACTCACTTCCAGCTTTTACCTGCTGAGCATTGAAACTGGCCTGGGCCTGGATGGTGCTGATGGGGGACACAGACCCATAAGGCTTCCGAGTTCTTTGACCCAGCAAACTGGCCGTCAAGAGCAGGGTGAAGAACAACACAGCCCCAGGGGACAGCATGGCGGTCTTGCTACGGGCAGTAGGTGACAAGACAGGGAGGTGGAGGGGTTTACTCTCCTAGGTCAGAGTCCACTGTCCAGTGCCACAGGAAGCACAGTCCAGGAAGTCCACACCTTCCGATTATTGAACTCCCTCCCCAAGCCAGGGTCCATCCTAGAACCTAGTCTTGAGAATAGCTTGGCATTGTGTCCCAAGTGCGAAGTTAGAGTTTACCTCTGCACCCCTATTTCCACTTGAGGTCAGTGCTCAACCCTCTGCACGCAATAACTCGCTTTAACCACAACCAACAACAACGTGCTCAGAAAGCCACTTTTCAAAGCCTAGCAGCAGAGAGAGCAGGGGCAGTCTTGAATCCGCCCAGCTGAGCCTGACTCATTACTGCAGTCCATCGAGGGTAGCCAGGAGCGACTACTGTTCTGCCAGCCAGTTTGAGAGTAAGAGCATGCGCAGGCGCATAAACACCGGCCGAGAGTCAGAGCCTGAGGCGCAGGCGCAAGAGAAGGGGGAGCCATCGATGCCTCCGGGCTCTCAGCGTCGAGCCTGGCTCCTCCGTAAAGACGCGGAGGTGGGGACTAGAGCGGCGGCGGAAGCCGGGCGCAGCGCAGTGGTCAGAGGCACCGCGGTGAGTCCCGGCTTTGGCCCCGCCGTGCTCACCTGTGTCATCTGCCCTGTCCCCAGTCACCGGCCTTGTGCCCCATTACTCCCAGTCCTGCAGTCACAAGCCTTCTGCCACCTTCGGTGTCCCTTGTCCCTGGCCTTCGTTTATTTTCTCGGGCCTGGTCCCGGTCACGGGCCTCAGCCTGCCCTGTCCTACTTTAACTGGCCTTTGCCACCTCCACGGGTTTTGTTGACTGTGATCATCTATTTTTCCTGCAATGTCTACACTTATACAGCCTTTGGTGGCCTTATCTGGCCAGTGATGGCCTTGGCAAGTTGCCGTCGTCCTAGTTCACCCTTGGTGTTCAGTAGGCAAATGAAGGAGCTGCTGCCTGCTCTAGTTAAATAGCAAAGCTGATGTCTGCTCTGACATTCAGAAACCCCACCTACTCTTAGCACCCTCCTGGCCAGGTTCTCTCCTGAGGCCACATGACAGAGGCCACTGGCTACCAGGAACCCCTTCTCGGAAGAAAGTCGTCCCTGGTCTGAAGTCTTGTGGCATCAAGGTCAAAGACAGGGTGGGGGGCTAAAACTTGGACCAGCCAGTTGAGCAGCCCCTGGGCCCTGGAGCATTGGGGAAGGTGTCAAGGGCCTCCACTTGGAAGGTATAAAGATGGGGCCGCCTCTCACTTTGGAGGTCGCACCTGGCCTAGTAGTACTCAGGTAATTGCTATCTGATCCAGCAAGTCTTTTGGTGCCCTGGAGAATGTGAGGTGGTGCAACATCACTGTCTGGGTGCTTCAAGAAGTGTTGGGTCTGGTGGGGCAGTGCTACTTGTACACACACACACACACACACACACACCCTCCCCCCACCCCCGCACATGCTCAGTGCAATGGAATTCTCGGCTGGGCAGTTGGTGGGGCTGGCTAGGACTCCCATGTCTGGAACCCCAGACCATCAGTCTCTCCCTGGGGTTGGAGGTGAGGAGGCCTGGGTTCAGAGCAGACACTGGTGGGTTTCAGGACCGTCTGGGCAGAATGTCACGATGGATGAGGGGGGCGTGCCCCTGCTCCCCGACAGCCTTGTCTACCAGATTTTCCTGAGTTTGGGCCCTGCAGATGTGCTGGCTGCTGGGCTGGTATGCCGCCAGTGGCAGGCTGTATCCCGGGATGAGTTCTTATGGAGGGAGCAGTTCTACCGCTACTACCAGGTGGCTCGAGATGTGCCCCGCCACCCAGGTCAGTACCTACACACACCCCTAAACTTGCTGGCCTCAGGACAGGGGCCATACTGGGGGAGAACAAAAGGGTGCACCCTGTAGTTGAGACCTAATTAGTACTGCAGTGAGTTCCAGAGTCCTTACAGAACTGCTCCCAGTAGCCATGCTGTCAGCTCTCAGTCTTGACTTGTGAGGGAGCCTTGCATGCAGGAGTGACACTGTATTGTCAACAGCGGCCACATCCTGGTATGAGGAGTTCCGGCGGCTCTATGACATGGTACCCTGTGTGGAGGTGCAGACACTGAAAGAGCACACCGACCAGGTCCTGCACCTCAGCTTCTCCCACTCGGGGTACCAGTTTGCTTCCTGCTCCAAGGACTGCACAGTGAAGGTAAGGGCACCTCTCCCACGCAGTAGAACTCAGTGGGAAGAGAAGCCAGTGGTTAGAGAAGCAGAGAGGGCCACACAAGACCAAACGCTAAGATCAGCTCTAACCTCTAGTTCCAAGGGTCAGCCCCTATATTGGTATTATGTCGTAAGAGTGGGCGGGTGGTCAAGGCCTAGGCCAAGGTTCTTACCCCATGAGGACCCAGCACCCGAGAAGAGTCAGGACTTGCTGTGCTGCCAGAGTGAGCTGGCCTGGTCATTACCCTGCAGCCTCTCTGGTACAGATCTGGAGCAATGACCTGACCATCTCACTGCTGCACAGTGCAGATATGAGGCCGTACAACTGGAGTTATACCCAGTTCTCCCAGTTCAACCAGGATGACTCACTGCTGCTGGCCTCAGGGGTGTTCCTGGGGCCACATAACTCCTCCTCAGGCGAGATAGCTGTCATCAGCTTAGGTGAGTGTGGGCATTGGGTTGAGCTGCCTGTCCCATTATGACCTGTCAGCAGCCTGCCCAGCTGTGGCCTTCCCCCCAGACTCCTTCGCCCTGCTGTCCCGTGTGAGAAACAAGCCCTATGATGTGTTTGGCTGCTGGCTCACAGAAACCAGCCTCATTTCGGGGAACCTGCACCGCATTGGAGATATCACCTCCTGCTCAGTGCTGTGGCTCAACAACGCCTTCCAGGTTCAGACCGGGATGGGCAGGCTGGGCAGACAGGTGGGGTAGGGCAGGGAAATACAGAGGAAGAAGGTGTGGGCAGGGCTGGACATGGAAGGGCAGATGCAGGGGCCAGGGTAGGCTACTCCCCAGGCCTGGCCCTCTGACCAGCATGCACCTGTTCTGGGCCTTGGATTATGTCCCACACAGGATGTGGAGTCAGAGAATGTCAACGTGGTAAAGCGGCTCTTTAAGATCCAGAACCTCAATGCCAGCACCATCCGCACAGTGATGGTGGCCGACTGCAGCCGCTTTGATAGCCCGGACCTCCTGCTGGATGCTGGTGACCAGGCTGGGCTCCCCTGCCGAGTCTTTGACCTAGGTGGAGACACTGAGGAAGAGGCCACCGACTCAGGTTTGCATACCTCTGGTTCTGGCCATGTCAAGGAAGGTTTACGGCGTGTGTTTGATAGTGTCTTGGATGGACATGGACAGCTGTCAGATTGTGCACTGGAGACAAAGGTGGCTGAGCTCCTGGCCAAGGGCCACACCAAGCCCCCAGAGTGTAGTGATGCTGACACCAGGAACAAGTACCTCATCTTCACCACTGGCTGCCTCACGTACTCACCTCATCAGATTGGTAATGGTGGGCAGGGCAGGGCTGGCCTGGGAGGGTCAACAGCCACTGCGGTGCTCCCCAGACCAGCAAGCCCATAGGCAAGCTTGGCTCATGCATTGGGATACTGTTCTGGCCTTGGCACACTTGATCCTGTGTAAGAGTGGTAAAAACCCAGGCAGGGATTGGTCAGCAAATGAGCAGGCGCGCAGCTGTGCCTGAGTCGGAGTGTAGACAATGTTTGTGGACTTAGGGCTATTGTTGGATTGGGAGTGCCCTGGTGGTGATGTCCTTGCAGGCTCTGGATGACCCCTTACCCTGGTCTCCATGCAGGCATCAAACAGATCCTGCCACACCAGATGACAACTGCAGGGCCCGTGCTGGGCGAGGGCCGCGGCTCAGATGCCTTCTTTGACGCACTGGACCATGTCATTGATGTACATGGGCACATCATTGGCATGGGCCTGTCTCCTGATAACAGGTGGGCCTGGTGAGCTGGGTGGGGCACCCCAGATGGCCCTGTGCCTAATAACATGCTTGTACCTTGCTCAGATACCTGTATGTGAATAGCCGTGCCTGGCCCCCTGGCTCAGTGGTAGCTGACCCCATGCAGCCCCCGCCCATTGCAGAGGAGATTGACTTGCTGGTGTTTGATCTCAAGACCATGCGGGAGGTGAAGCGAGCTCTGCGGGCACACCGTGCCTACACGCCCAATGACGAGTGCTTCTTCATCTTCCTGGATGTCAGCAGGGATTTTGTGGCCAGGTGTGGGCTCAGGTGGGCTCCAGGGCTTGGGCATGGGCTTCAGCAGGTGGGTGTGGGCTCATCCTGATGCTATCCCACAGTGGGGCTGAAGATCGACATGGCTATATCTGGGACCGCCACTACAACATCTGCCTAGCCAAGCTGCGGCATGAGGATGTGGTCAACTCGGTGGCCTTTAGCCCCCAGGAGCAGGAGCTTCTGTTGACAGCCAGCGACGATGCCACTATCAAAGCCTGGCGTTCACCACGCATTGTCCGTGTCCTGCAGGCACCACGCCCACGCCCACGCCCACGCCCCTTCTTTTCCTGGTTTGCCAGCCATAGGCGCTGAAGGCTTCGGTGATTTGAGCCATTGGAACCTACTGGGGAAAATGGTACCCTGTGGTTCTTTACTGCACTGGGGCAGAGTAGCTCATAGCAGTAGGGAGGGGCAGCTTGACCCCAACACACACACCACCTGCTCACTCAGCCATCAGGCTTAGCACTAGGGTAGCCCTTGTTGACAGCACCAGAGATCCCATGTTAGCCTCTTGGCCAGCTTGGGGTACACAAGACACTGGAAACCCTGTTCTTCACCTACCCTCTTCCCTTGGGTTGGCAACTCATACAGCTCCAAGCTGGCCTGTCTGGGTGCCTTTCATATTCAGCCAAACCCACACCCTTGGACGTCATGAGTATACCCTGGGTGGCAGGCCACAGGCACTGGTCTCTGATAATTGAGTTTTTGCTACTGATGGAGTGGCCTGCAGTGGACTGAGTGCTGCATGCTGTACTCATGAACTGTTTGGGCCTGAATAAACAGTTGGCAACAGCACATGCCATCTAGTCTGTTTGTAAGGACGGGCCCCAGGCCTTGCTGGCCAATGTCATCCTGGTGATGTCTGCTTCGGGTCCTCCAGGAGGCTGAAGAGGTTTGGGAGTGTATCCCTTTGACTTCAGGGATGCCTGTGCATGGCTGTGAGTGCTAATGGGTACAGGAAGATGTACCAGTCCAGCCTGGCCAGCACCCAAAAGAGGTGGGTTTTAGCATAGTTGGCTCCATCCTCAGGAGAGCTCCCTGAGCGGGGTATAGTGACACAGATCTGTAATCCTTGCTCCACAGGGGGCTGAGGCAGGAGGATGGAGACTACAG